CTGAAATTATTTTCCCTTTTCCTCCCAATCTTAATTGTAACAAGCAGATTGATTTGCTTACAAATTAGTCGATAAAAATACCTCAATGGTGTTGAGAAACCATTTAAGAAACAGAGCTGAGAAATCGAAAAAGAACCTGAATAAGGGTAAGGGCAGAACATTCTATACAGGTTTCAATCTCCCTGTACTCCTGCATGATCGGAGCCATTATCTGCTCCAGGCTTACCGGATGGCGTTCATCCCTCAAATCCAGCTTACAACCAACCACAATCACTGGTGCTTTGATCTGAATTCAATCACAAACAGAGATACACATAACTTATCACTAAATCATCCAAGCGAAAAAAGGAAAAGGAAAGAACCAGAAACCTCTAAACGGCGGAGCTCAGGGAGCCAATAAGAAGTCAAGCGATCGAGTGTCCCAGGCTGATCACATGCGTATGTCAGGACCACCGCATCTGCCTTCCTGAATTCTTCTATGAGCTTTATCCTATTGTCGATACTATTCACAAACAACATCTCTCAGTACATCAAACTAGGGATTCCCTGCGTATTATATCTGTTTAGAAAACCATTTACAATCCGGTAAGAACGCAACCCAATGAACACTACGATCATTCGACAAGAACCCAAATTAAGAATTCACGCAAGCAATTCGCTCATGGATTGAAGAAATTTCCCGACAAGGCAATAATTCAACATTTCTAGCGTTCACACTTTGGCAGTTCTGATCTTGCTCTTCAAGCAACTCGGACATAAACACAGGGTGAAACACACGGGGACACGAACGAACCTTGAAGGAGTATCGATGATGGTGATGGGTATGAGGTCGGAGTAAAAGTCGGCGGGGAGAGTAGTCGGGGGCAGCACGCGTGGGACGTTATCCGGGAATGTGTCGGAAGCGAGGGCGGAGATCAGGCTGGATTTCCCGGTTCCTTTGTCTCCGGCAACCACCACTCTGATGCCGGTGCGGCCTCCGGACGACGACTTCCCTCCAAAACCACCTGCCATCGGAGAGAGAGAGAGAGAACGAGAGAAGTTGGGAGAAGATGCGATGTTGCAGGTTGCGCTCGAAGACAAGTTCGATGGATGGACGGCCAAGCTGACGTGGGATGGGATGGATACTCCATAATAAACTCGGGTCGACCCGACTTCTGCTCCTGAAACTTTTCGTCTCGGCCCAATATGTATGTGGGCCTCATTACAACAAAAATCAGCCCAACCAACCCATTTACATATGGGTTTTTCTGTGTTGGGTAAGTGGTTTTATTTCATAAATGTAATTGTTTTATTATTAACTTTTATGAAAAAATAGGGTTTTCTTATGTCAATATAATTGTTTAGATTTTTAAATAAGATATGCTGTTATAAATAAATAAAAAATATGCCTTTCGAATAATTGAGAATCTCTTTCTAAATTACCAGCTAGATGAATTAACTACCAGTTTTACCAAAGCACGAATACGTTACATCTTTGACTCTTCAAACATTTATTCGATTTTAAGAGGAACACGTCTGTCATGGTGAAAGGATAAGTATGTCAGTTATCGTAATAATCTATAATTATT